AAACACGACATTTCGGAGACCGAAATCTGTCTCCGAGTTCAGGTGAAACATGAGTAGACATTTTTAACAAAAAAAATTCAGGACAATGGGTATGTCCAGGAATCTCGTTGCTTTCTCAAGTCTGTGAACACGTTAATTTATGAAGCGCAATTCCGTAAAGAATGGTGGACGAATGATGCAATTTTGTTTCTAGCGAAGGACACTCAGTCTCGGGAAATGAACTCAGGACGAATCGGACGACCCAACACAAAGAAATTCAGCAGCTATTTTGTAAAGTTGTATGTCTGATACCACAGTGATCACAGAGGACTCTTTCATTCCGAAGCGTCTTAAAGGAAATTTTGAAATAAACCACGTCACTCTCAAGCAACAGCTACGGTCTTGTTACGTCTCGCAGGCTACAAGATTCCATTCAGCCAGCAACACGTACGAAGAAGGATTTGAGGTTTTGACGATGGTGAGTCCGAATATGGTTTTCATCGGTTTTGTAGCTCAGTGTAATCCGGTAGAAATTTACCAATGTTTCAGAGGCCCTTGCTGCTTCCATCATCAGAGCGATAGGTGTTCATCAAGGACCTCTGAAATTCGGGTAGACGTCTACCAGAATACACGGCGTAGACAGCCATCAAAAACACACACTGACCAATGCTTTCTCAGTCTCTAGCGCCAAAACACTTATTATTTATGCATCCGTAACTATATATGTGTTCCCAAACAGTTTCTCCATTTTGTTTTCTTCAATGTCAGATTTATACGTGTCTTGTCAAATTCATCGAATGTGATGAATTTTGCATTCTGTGTTATTATTCAATTCACAAATGTTTAATCGTCGCTTCGCGTGGTCCTTTTGATGTTCGTCTAACCTCACCCAAACCACCACAAACCCTAGGAAACTGTTTTAGAAACTATATTTCTTCTTGTATCATGTTCATCACCGCCCACGTTCCAACGGCACGCAAGCAAGCTTACAACATCCCGGTGTTTCACACAGAACTGTAAGTGTGACCCTTTCGAGATATCATACCTAAAGTGTTTTGAGTTATATGGTTTTTGCACGAGAGATCGCCAACATCTCAGATTTGGATATTTGTTGTGAGCGATAAGAATTAGCAACAGATCAAGTTGAGACCGGCAATCGTGAAATATGCAGACAGCAGTGTGCTGTTCTGGTTGCAGCGGCTTACAGGCGACAAACTCGGCGTCTGGAGCCCATGCCTAGTAGGAAAACAGTCCCGCAAATGTCGGGGTCAAAGTTGAAGAAACGCTCCCGAGCTGGTCAGGCCCGTCCGATTGAAAAAAAAAAGTCTCTTTTCATCCACGAACTTGCGACTTGTGCGTGAAAACGTTGAAATAAAACTTTATCTTCGCCTATATATTGGGTCTAGGTTCCACGGTGGTCTAGAGGTTAGAACGCTGGCCTTGTAATCCTGGGGTCTCGGGTTCGATTCCCGGCGGTGCCCCAATTTATAACTTGTGTTGGGCAAGGCCGTGGTCTAGGCAACACGGAGTTTTCCTCCGTGGCATCCCAACAATTACTCCATTCACACACAGAAGAAGGCAATGGCAAACCACTTCTGGATCATCTGCCAAGAACGTATATGAACAGGTCCCAGTCCGAGAAAAGGATGGAAGGATCCTGTTCATATGGACCTGTCGTCAGACAGACCGAAAAAGTGAATGTGTAATAAATATTGGGTCTAGGTTCCACTTTACATTTTTAAAATTAAGTTCGTAGACTCACGAAGGCAGGACGTAAGGAGAAATACCTGACGCTCAGTCCCTGAATTGTCCTCTTCCTAACTGAGAACTCGCACAAAAACTTTCGCCTGAATATAAGCTTCTTGTGACGTCAGTGCGGTGAATAGAGAAAAATGTAACCGTATCGGCACATCGTCATGGAATGCACTCACTACGCGAGTTTGCCAAACAAGATTTCTGTCAGCAAAGGCTGCTGGACTTCTCCGAAGTTTGTAATTGGTAGGGATGAATAGCTAACAAATTGTTAACACTGGTTGTGTGAACTTGGAAGGAGACGCGCCTTTCTGAATTTATAAGCTAAAGAATCTGATGTTCTGACGTTCGTAACCTCGTGTCATTTATCATCAACCAATTTCAGACAGTATTAAAGCCCATCTTTGTTTATTCTTTCGTTCTATTTGTCCAGTAGACATATATCTTCTGGTCCATGCGCTAGAGATGCCCCCATCACCAATTTCACCAAAACAAAATCAAAAATTGACTACTAAAACTATTCCAAGACTATTGTTTCGTCTTTGTTGTTTCTGTATGAAATGCGCCATCTTTGTTCGTACTAGACTATAAACAAAGTATAGGTCCATGAGGATCACGTGATAGAATTGGTCCACTGCGAAAACGCTCTATAAATACCCCCCCCAACTTAAATTTTAGATTTAATACGGCGATCCGATTCGTCTCCTCAAAAGTCACCCCATGACGTCGGAAATGCGCCGAAATGTCATATCCGAAATTCGTTGGTCCCAGTCGCCTCACATCCACATCCGGAAGGGCTTGAGTTCTCGCCTCGTAAACAACTTTTACAAGTTCGAAAGCTTTGTGAATGTCACGTCGCCGCCAGAAGGAAAATCTGGAAGGAACGACTGATTGCCGCCACTCTCTTTCATTCCACAGTTTCTGAGCGAAAGATGTAAAAGAACTCCATTCCATTTATAATTAGCGGACTATTAATTTATTAAATCAGATTTCAGTTGAATGCCCGACCATCATCTGCTGTCTGAAAAAATCGCGAAGACACTGTCGTCACAAAAATTATTAACGTAAACCAATTTACATGCAAATCTTCAGACTCAGAATCAAATCTGAAAGGCAAATTTGACGAGCTAAAAATGAAAGTGCCAAGTACTTGTATTAAGTCAAAATAAATTGGTAAAACACGAGATGACAAACTCCTTCGAGATTCCCATAGTACCAGGTGATTCAAAAAGGACTTTACAACTTTGAAAGTGTATAGACATTTATTCAGAAGACTTACAGAATCGGTTGAGGTGTCATTTTGTAGCAAAACAAATCATGTTTGACTCACGTTGTGCTGTAGTACCGAATTCCGTCACCGCGAGCGCAAGCGGCAGTGCATTTTAAATGGCTCGAAAATTTTCTCATATAACAGTTAGACGAAGATGACCAAGAAGGACGCATTCACTTCCAGCAAGACGGCGCACCACCTCACTACCTCACAGAAGTCTGGGATTCCCTCAATAACCGTTTACCAGGTCGATGGATTGGTCGAACAGGGCCGATAGCATGGCCACCTAGTTCTCCAGACTTGACACCTCTCGATTTTTTTCTTATGGGGTTTCATTAAACATCGTGTGTATGTTCCACCCTTAGCTGCCAATCTCACTGAGCTCAAAGCTTGAATCACCGCCGCAGTTACAGAAGTGACACCGGATATGCTAGATCGTGTTTGGCAAGAAATTGATTTCAGGTGGGACGTCTGCAATATCACCAATGGCAATCATATCGAACCAAAATGACTGGTTGAGGTAAACCTTGATTTGTTTTGCTACAAAATGACACCTCAGACGATTCTGTAAGCCCTCTGAATAAATTTCTATACACTTTCAAAGTTGTAAAGTCCTTTTTGAATCACCCTGTATTTTGAAGGGGGTGTGAAAAAATTAATAGCTGTCTCCAGGCTTCCTCGGCGTCGGTCAAAATCTGACAGGCGCGCCACAGTTGTTACGTCATGCATACATTTCCCAAATTCTTATTCCTCATGTTCGAAATGCAACTGAAAAACCGAAATTTGTTAATCGTCACGTCTGAAGCAAATGGTAGCAAAATTTGTTCGGTCAAGACGTAAAATGCTCTCAACTCCACAAACGCACTGAGCCTACTAGAAAATAATCTATTTATAATTCAGTCTGAAGCGGCGATTAAACTTACTGAAGTGGCTGTCAAAGAATATCGCGAACTTCATACACGAGTCCATCCAAAATTCTCCTCTCACGTTACCTTGAAACGCACGTGAAATTACCGTGGATCATCATCGTTTGTTCCAGCGCTCGGACCCAGATCAAAATTGTGCGTCAAATACACTGGATCTGTCGGTAGAGAAAGTGCGAGTAGAACAGAGAGACTCAGAAAATGGTGTATGATTCACTTGGCAACGAATTGAACTGGGCATACTCGAATTGAACTGGGCATACTCTAATTGAACATGGCATACTCGAATTGAACTGGGCATACTCTAATTGAACATGGCATACTCGAATTGAACTGGGCATACTCGAATTGAACTTGGCATACTCGAATTGAACTGGGCATACTCCACAAATTACGCCAGTAGCGTTTAAACGGGGTCCATAAGAGTGGAATCTTTTGGAGCCACTGTTGATCAGCACCAGGCAACTGACAAAGACACTCTGTGTCACACAGAGCAATTCAACCCAAGGCCAGGGAATATTCGGAAGGCAGAAACAGACTGAAACTGCTCATAAAGGCCTACAACAACTTAAACACTAAGTACTGGTTTACGTCTCTGGAATGGCCCGAAATTCATAATACAATCACTGGTAAACCTACGTGATCAGGGCGTTAGTAAAAGGTTATGAAACAGCTATTAGCTTTGACAGATTCCACTGTCTGGCCGTTCTGACCTATCTGATTTTGGCCAAATTTGGTATTGGATACCAACTATGGCTAAGTTCCTAAAATATATATTACTTTAGCCACAACAGAAGACTACGACTGTAACTTTGTAATGAGTGTTCGCATTTATAACACGCTGAACACCTTTTATTAACTTTCTTCCACCTTCATGTAATTATAGGTAATTGTTCTCCTATTGGCACTAATTTGTTTCTTAGAAGACAATTTTTGGGAATCTCGTAACGTCGTATTGAGTTATGAGCTGTCGCTTAAGTTTTTATCTCGGCTGCTAAATTTGTCAACTTTAAGGTTAAACTCGCTTCTAGCCCGTAAGTAGACTTAATTCACGCAATAGCCTTTATTATTTTCAGGAACACGCGACTATGAGTAGACTACGGGATTCTTATGACGTCACAGACAGAGGCCAGTCTGCCCAGCGTCCAACATGTCGGACTGCCAGACTTGTGACTGTAAGATTCACTCAGTAATCAAACAGGTAAATAAGACGACCTCTCGTATTTAATTCGCTGTCAAGACAGCCAGTTCAGAGAACGTATCACGAACCCAACACGTCAAGGACAAAGATGAGAAGTGTTACCGCCGAGCTAACCTTCACGGTGACAGAACCCAACGTAGCCCAACTCCATTTGTTTACTACATCTAGTCGGATTTGTCAATGCATCAGCTGCTGAGTCATGTCTCATGGCTCGAAGTGACCTTCTCCCCTCTAGACGTTCTTTGGAGTCTCTGGCTTCGAGGCCCTGATGGGACAGCAGGGGGTCTGGTTTGACGTGTCTAGTCGTATACCCAACCGGAGACTGGGTCCTGGGAGGCGTGACCGAAAAGTGTCTCTTTGTTCTCTCTATTTCAATGTTTATATATTTTGTATTAAATATAACTTTTTGGTTAATCGGTGGTTCTTTAATTTCGTTTTGCTTGGCTTAACCACTATTCTTATACTACGTGAATTGGGAAGTTCGTCTTCATGGATTTACCTTCTGTCACCTGACATGAGGCCATGCTGTTTTTTCCACTGTGAAGTAGGCTCTCACACATTTACGCTTCGTAATACGAGACTGCATTTCCTTTGTGAAGAACAGATGTGATTTTATTAATGTGTTCTTTCTTTCTACCTTGTACCTTCACGACTAAGTCCCTGGAACTTGGGGCTTCTTTCTAATATCTATCCATTTATCGACCCACGTAATACCCCAGTGTTAGTGAAATACTCGAGCATGTGTTTCTAGAATGTTCTCTCGCCACGCATCTATGGAATCAGCTGTCATCTGCTGGGATATTACAAAATCAACGGTAAAGAAGTTAGTTAAAGGCGCGTTCTCACGAATTAAGTTTAATTGACCGATTATAGTTGATCAACAAAAGTTGAATATGACCTGAATCAGTTTTTGTTCACACATTTCAATAGAAACTGATCAACAGTTTCAGTTAAAAATGGCGTCGAAAGCAGTTGTGCGTGAAATTGTACTGATAGTAACTTATGATAAAGTTCTAAGAATTTTAGCATCACACTTTCAGACCACTTGAGGCTCATTTTTCTAACTAAAAACACAACACAACACAAAAAACATGCACGAGTGGCGTGACCAGTTGAAAGCGACCTTGACAATCAACTGAAGTTCACACGTTTCAAGACAGGATTCAACTTGAAATCAAATGGCGGATGACTCATCACTTGAACGATAAAGTTTGACTGGGTCAACTCTATTGAAACAAAGGTTCTCACTACAGATACATTGTTTATGACGATTTTAATATAGATTATCTCCCACAGTTTTTCCACATGCTAGAGCTTGTTTATCTGTTGAAACGTTTAATATAATACCTGCAAGAATCTGGAAAAATTCAAGAACAAAAATTGATAATGTGTTTACAGGTATTAGCAGGCAAATTCTCTCATTTGACTAAATATCTTCCAAGCAAAAATGTTCTACCCTCTCAGCTGCAAGTCAGTCTTCCCGTGAAAATCATTTCGAAGCAGAACGCAAAGAGAAATTCCATCAACTGTTGATATTATGTATCATTGTTTCAGATAAGACAGAATGACA